TGAAGGACGATTCTCCCACCGAGCCACAGTCGCCACAGTTGTCATGTGAAAAGAAAAGCACTAGAGTACTGAGACTGAGCAAAAGGTTAAGTGGGACAAAGGTAGGAGACTATCTATAGGACACAGGTGAGGGAAGCCAAAAGGTTCATCGGCACAGTGGGTGACACACAGATCAATACTGGGAGTTTAACCAGTTGACAGCACACATCTAAAAATCTCAGAGTTACTCAATCTGTCACACTGGGTGGATGCAACAACTCAATTTGTACAGACACAAACGGACAGTGCGTCTAGTTTTGTGTTGATATTTGTGTATTTTTTTATCTGTCTTTTACTTTAGTGAAAAAGAAATTGTTCAATCAAATTTGTCCAATTCTGTAGGAATGCCAACTAAATGAATATAGTCCCATTAAGCTCCAATGGGAGCATGTTGACACACTAAAGTAGTGAACATGGTTGACATTGACATCAACATGTTAGCATTGTCATTGATTGAGAATGTGAGCATACTAACCGCATACCAGCATTCAGCTCGAAGCATTTTTTTATCTACCGCCATCATCAGGTCAACATGTTATCAAGCTAACATTTAAAAACATGACTAGTCAGTGGACTTTCAAGTCCTAACCGTCCAAAACGGCCTCTCAGGCCTGCTAGCTGTTTCAGAGTCCAGGTTAAAGTCAAAGGCTGATTAAGCGTTTGCTGTACTGGCACCTCAGCTTTCAAAAACAGTCTTCCAGCCAGTATTTAATCTGCTGACACTCTTCATTGTTTAAATAATACAGTTCTATTGTGCAAAAACCTTATTTTAAGTTTATTTTAATAGTTTTACTTGTTCCACCTTCTGTGTGTTTGTATTTTGCTGTTCTTGAGATTTTCTTATGCTGAAAGCACTTTGTGCTGCAAGCTTGAAAAGTGCTATACAAATACAATTATTCTGCTTATTAATTATTATTATTATTGAGCTTTAATCACTGCCGTGCATATGTGTGTGCAGACTCACAGAACTGCAAGCATGAGTGCAGACTCTTGTTCTTTTGTCCATGTAATCTCCAGGGCGACACAGTGCAGCAAATAAACATGATGCTGCAGCAGTTTATTTCAAGGAACGGAATTTACATTTTGTATTGCTATGTTTGAATGCACACATTGCTCAGTATGAGTGCACGTGTGTGTTTTGAATATGTGTCAGAAGAGAAGTCTCAGATAGACTTCAGTAAATTACCAAATAAACTGCACTTTTAATGGGTCAGGACTCACACACACACACACAGACAGACAGGATCCTGAAAAGACAACAGACAAACATCAACAGAAAGACATGCATGTTGATGTTCAGAAGAGGGATCTTATTTGTATGCGCCTGTTACTTTGACAGGAGCATGTGTGCCGTGACACAGTGGACTCTGCACATCTGGCTTTGATTAAAAACTCTGGAGTTGTTGTTGTTGTTGTTGTCGCGGTGCTAAAATTACTGAGATACTTTACTGAAGACAAGCAGGAACAGAAATGCTGTTTTCGCTCACAGCACACACCCCCAAAATCTCCAGCTGAACCTTCCCCAAAACACAATCTGTTTCTCATTATCAGTTTTTCCTGTAACTTCTCACATCCCCCACCACCCCTTACTTTTTGTTCTCTTTAAGGCCTCTCTCTATTGTCTGTTTTTCTCCTCACCCTCTGGGATGAAACAACAAGTCATCAGCGTGTGACTCCATTCCCCTTGAACTGTTTATTGTCGTAGTGAGCCCTGTAAAAAGACAGCGACAACCATTAGGCAAACAGCGTTGGACGTCCTGCTTGTTGCAGGATAAGAGGTCAGATAAATATTGGGGAGAAATCGGACACCCGGTGAGAGAGAGAGAGACCAACAGGAGCGTCTCAGAGCTAAACAGTGGAGGGATGTAACCACGTGGGTTTCTTTAGTCTTAAATCAATTCAGAGGAGAATTTCTAAAGGGACTTTTTGCTGCTCTGCATTTATCTGACTGCTTTAGTTAATTTGTGTGCAAATTAGGATTTTAGCACACAAAATGTAAGAAGAGCTTATAGAATATGATGCGTTGTTATAAACTAAACTGCCCAACAGAATATACAAGTACAGCTGAAACAATGAGATGATTGACAGAAAATCCATTGCCAACTATTTTGAAATGATTTTTAAGGCAAAAACATTTTATGGTTCCAACTTTTTAAATGTGAAGAATTGCTGCTTTTCCTTTTAATTATTTAATAATGTTGAGGTTTGGACATTTTGACTATCTGTTGGACAAAACAAACATTGGTAAGGTGTCCTTTAAGGCTTTGGGTCACTGTGACAGCATTTCTCACTATTTTCACCCTTTTTAGAAACCAAACAATCAATTGATTAATGGAGAAAATAATACGGCGATTAATCCCTAATGAAAACAATCCTTAGTTAATATTACAAAATGAGCTCCACCTCAACCAACTACAACAGAAAGATACTGTTTTTACATGAAAGCATGAGTAATCATAGTCTGATGATCTATATGATAGCATTTATTTTTAATATTTTAAATACATTTTCCTGATTATTCTCATGTACTTTTACTGAACTAACATTTTCAATGCATGCCTTTTACTTGCAATGGAGTATTTATACAGTGTGGTGTTCGTACTTTTATTTAAATAAAAGATCTGAATGCTTCCTTCACCACTGGAGCTAAATCACGGACATCTCAGTGGTTTGGTCCTGATATGGGATGTCAGGACATTTCAAACTCCTCACAGACAGACAAAAGTGTCTTATCTCTGTCATTTGTCCAAACTCTGCCGGTGTCCGCCTCTTTCATCTTTCTGCTCCTCATTAGCAGAAACATAATGAATATTCTAATTAGGGACTGTGCCAAAAGCATCCTCGCATGCTGTCGGCTGGAAGCATTTCACAGAAGATTGGTGATGGTTGCAGTAGTCAAACAAAAGAAGTGGAGCCGTTCCAGACTTCCCAAGTTCAGAGCAAAGAGTTCATCTTTTTCTCAGAGTATCCGCGGTCTTGCAGGGGCAGATCAGATTATATTTACTGGTACGGGTTCAAGAGCATGTGGTTTCTTTATTAAGTGGAGGATGAAGAATGTTAATTCAATGAACTGTGCTTGAGCATGAAAGTGGCTTGTTGTATGCTGTGGGAGTGTAGAGCAGCGAATATTCACATGACAGAAAATCATCTTTTACATGTATATTCTTATGAAAATGAAGAAACACTGCACTACTTGGGCTATTGTGAACTACCTCTTCAGTGTACATATTTATTTAGTGCTCCTGGTGATTACAGTAACAGATATTAGTGATAGAAAGGGCCAGAGAGCCAGATGTCAGGGTGTCACTCACTTACATTCACTACAATTGTAATGAAGTTGCAATTCTGCTCTCACAGATGAGGGGGGAGGATTTCAACACAATATGTTTGGCAATGTTGACTTTGCATGAGGGTGTGGACACAATAAACGGTAGATCTGCCTTCTGAAGCTTATAACCTTTCCTAACACACTGTCTGAGCAGCAGAGGTGTTCATTCAACTGCATGTTTAATAATCTAGTGACTTTTTTTTTTCAAAGACAAGTTATGTTCCTCCCCACTCTCTGAGACCTTCTCTTCTTATTGTTGCAGTTCTAGAATTTAAATACAGTGGTGATAGCGCCTCTTAGGCGGGTCCATAGACATTGGAATGACTTGATATCAGGGCAGCATGCATTGTTTGTTTATTTTAGCATATTGGTCCCTCAGAAGAAAACCAAAGAAGCGGTGGGGGAAGTAATGACAAAGGTTAACAGGAATAGTGTGGTTCAGAGGAAAAGAAGAAACACAGATCTGGGTCACATTTAATTGTTTTAGCTTATGCTTGGATCTGTTATATTAGTTTTGTAAACTAACTTGTTTCTACTTTTTGAAAAAGTGCCACGTGAATAGGTTACTATTAATATTATCAATACCGCAATATAACAGAAAACAATGTGCAGTTTCATGCAAAACCAAATTATGTTCTCAAAAATGAGTTGATGTAGCAGCGCTCACATTGTCAGCAGAGTTTAACAGCTTCACAAAGGTATTGCAGGGCTGTTGTATTGGATTGCATTATACTGTATGAATGACATCCTGTCCATTCCTCTCTCTAATTTTGTCGACTAGATTAGTTGATTTGATTGACAGACATGTAAAACTGAGTTTCTTCACAAAGAATCGAACAAAAGCACCACTTTAAATCTTAAATGACGAGGTTCTTGGAAATAACTCATTCAGCAAAATAAAAGCATAAAAAACGACTAATCGACTGAAGACATTTTAGTTGACTATGACCAAAAAGACCAGCAGGGGGGCAGCACTTTGTTCTTATTTGTAATTATAATTATCTCATGACTTAATTATGAGAAGGTAACTCGTGCTTTTGACTTGGTGTCTCATGAAAATGATGAGAAACTCTCTGGAGACATGTTGATATGTCATAGTAGAAAAAGCACAGTTGTATTGGTATGAATGAGTTCGGGACATTACAGCTACCCATCAGGGTATCGAGTATTTAAATTAAGCTCCACCATGATCAGCTGCAACATTTAGGAAATGTACACGTTAATGCATTCACGATCCATTAATAGGCTATAATATATTCTAAAAGAAGGCCGTTCTGCATAATGAGTACTTTTGCAGGATTTTTTACCAGCAACAGAGTATTTCTACAATGTGAGTACTTCCTCCACCACTATTTAAACCGCGCCTGCCTCCACAGTTCCACACGCTACTGCACGTGCGTTTTTTACAGATTCCTCTGCTGCCGCTCACGCTCTCGTACGCATGCGTGCTGGTGGCGGCGTCATCATCACCATCCCAGAAGTTGTCTAGCGTGTGTGTGTGGCGGTGGTACCCCCGAGCTGCTGCTGGAGGATCAACGTGTGGCCATTGTCAGGAGCAAGGACACCGACTGTCAGCCGAACCGAGCCTCCGCCGGAGAAAGCCGAACCCCCTCAGCACACACCGTCGGTGAGTGAAAGAGCGTGTGGTGGACTAACCGTCGAGACAAAGACGCTGCTGTTGAATTAAACGGCTCTTTTTTTGGCTCCTGCTCACATCTCGAGCTCAACTTGTGACGTGTGACTATAGCTCAAGTTGTAAATTAGCTAGCTCCGCTCCTCCATTAGCGTCACCAGTTTCATCATCTTTCTCTGCTTCCGCTCTCGTTATTATTTCATCTTACGTTACATTTACAACCAGCTTTATCGGGCAGCGTTAAACCGACAGTGGTTTCATTCACCGTGTCGTGGTCCTGGCTCTATTTCTACATGCACAAGTGAAGAAAGTGAGGCTGGACTGTCCCGGCATCTGACCCGCCTGCTGCTGAGCTGCAGCCCGTCGCTCCGGGTCTCTCAGTGGGGTCTCGGCACAGAGCCAGCACCGGAGAGATCACCGTAAGCTGTGATTTCTACTTGAAGTGCGTCTGACTGCGGCCTAACGTGTTAAATATTCTGCAGAGCTGAATGGGTTTCACATGCTGGTCGGAGCTCAATGGAGAGATCACACGAGAGCCACACGCGCTGCTTCTCGTGCAGTCCTCATTGTTTTTTGTCATTGTCATTTTGTTACATGGGGATATTTTCAAAAAAGTGAGTGATTGCTCTGTCATTTTCCATGTGTGTAGTGGCACAGGAGCAGGATTCATAACATCCACCCTGCTTTCAGAAGAGTCAGGCTTACAGTTGAATATTTCCCTCTTGGTGTTTGCAAACTTGTTTTATATTGCTCAGATCTTAGTGCATTATGAAATGGACTTGGGATTTTAATAGTTTCTGTTCTCAGGAAGCGTCTCATCGGGTTACTGCTGCTCCTCCAAAACAAACCTATCCAGTTGTGTTTTTGTATTGTCCTGGTGCCCGAGAGTGACTCTCTGCGGAAAGTGTTCCTCCTTTTGTGCAGTCTTTATTGTGATGCATAATGTTTATTGCTATGAATTGCCAGGAAAAGCTCAAAGGCTTCTTGACTTATAAGCATATACCTTCACCCAGGCTGACCTGCTGCATTCATAGTTTTCTACTGGTGGAAGGTATCTACTTCCTAAATGCAGAAGGTAGTGGATTACATGGGTAGTATTTAAACGTTGGAGGTGCATCAGTTACTGAGTAGAGAGTTTGTTTGTCGATTTTTGGAGTAAATATAAGAGATTCTGCATAAAATCCAGCGAACGGCTGAGGTATGTTGGTTGAGCCTGAGGCTGTGTGTGTGTGTGTGTGTGTGTGTGTGTGTGTGTGTGTGTGTGTGTGTGTGTGTGTGTGTGTGAGAAAGGAAGTGTGGTAAAGATTAATAACAAAAGAAAACCAAGTAGAACCAGATGTGTGGCGAGCTTTGGCCTGAAGTTGTTTGTCTCTGCCGGGCCTCATTTATTTGTTGGCCTTTAAATCCCCAAAGTTAACCGGCCACATTTCACCATTTTTTGTTTTGGGAAAAGGAAAAACCCATCGATCATAGTTTGTACTTGACAGAGTGGTTGCATAATAGACCTAAAACATCTGTTGTTGGGAGGGCCCGGTTCACATGCTTCCCAAAATCTGGGAAATGAAGTGTAATTTATAGTGTTGGGAAGTTCCACAAGCTCTGCACAAGGAAAAACTAATATTTAAATCTGTGCAACACAGTGCCCTTGAGCGGGTTTCTTCATGTGTGAGTATGCATATACGAGCCAGGCACAACTGGTTGAGGCCGGGCAAACTGCACATTTGAGCAAGCAGGGGTGTGTGACTGTCTGTGCACGCATCGGGAGTGCACTCAGGTTAAGGAAGTGTTTGAGAGAAGGATGGGGCCACAATGAAGTTAGTTCATGCCTGGGAGGTTAGAGTGGTCAATGCTAAGCTGACAAGTCTTTAACAACCATTTAGCTGAAGAGATTATATGTATAATGCTCGGTAATGGGACTGAAATTGTATTTGTTATTTGTGTGATTAGAGTTTAGAGATATGTCATACTGACTGTGTAAAAATAATCGGAGTCATGATGACTGTTTAGTTTCACTCATTCAAGGAAAGGAATAATGCTAAGCCCCCTTCCTTCCTTCCTTCCCTTCCCCGTCATCACAGGTTCTCTAAGAGTATCCTGTATTTTGTGTACTACGTAGATAATTTGGGAAACCCAGCTGGCCAGACAACATGTTAATCATTGTTGTGTCAGCATTTGTCCTGGAGTTGAATCATGTAATTATTGGGTCAGTTATTCCACAAACCGTTAAAAAGAAAAACCTACAGAATAAGGATTTTGTACATATTAGTTCTAACATTTGCTCTACTGAAAATCTGGTTGTTGAAGACATTTCAGGTAACTCCAGCCCCTCAACACACTTTGGTAAAGGGAGCATTTGTTGTTGCAGAATGAATGGCCTCTTTGAGAACTCTTCAAGAGTTGTCCTGCTTTGCTCACACACACACACACACACACACACCTAAAAGCTCCAGCACAGAGCACTGGGACCTCACGTGAGATGGAGAGTCCCATTGGTGAAGCCTGCTTCCCTTAAGTCCAGGCCCTGAACTGATTATCTGTCTTTCTTAACGCTGGAACAACTGGTTCAACAGATTTGGGTGCCGTCTGTGTCTGACATACAAAACTCCTACGAAGCTTCTCGGCCTTGCTTGCCCTGTCGAGCTTTCTTTCCTCACACTGAATTTATTTAGTTTACTAACGGGGACAGCGGCAGACTTGTAACTCGCAGTAAATGTGTCCTTAAATTGAGAGGTCAACAGAAGCAGACTTCTCATTTCTAGGGGGCGACCGTTTTGTTGATTATATCAGCCGTTGGCTAGCTAGCTAATTCAGCAAACGTTGGCTTCATAAGTTAGTTGAAATCTCTCATCTTCGGCTGACTTTTTAAAGTTTCCAATTGACCTGTTATAAAACAATTGCCCTGTAAAAGGGATTCTAAATATGCACTTCATGGCTACATACACAGTAAAATACTGCGGCTGGAGCTGCATGTCAGCACCCTTATCTGATGGCTATCCATGCGGAGGAGACAACATGGACATAAAGACACAGTAATGGGTGATGACTCAGGGGGACTGAAGTCACTGTCACTGCTTTACGATTTTATGACTGCTAGATGTAATTTGGGCGTTAAAATGACAGAAACACGCATAGAAAACCAGGGGGAACCATAGAGGGACTCTGGATCCACCTTCTGAGCTGGAAGTGTGGTGGGAGGGCCAATAGTGATGATATTTATATAGGTTTTAAGTTGGACTTATTGTAGATGTGTCCTTTTATAATGGATTATTTGGTTGCACAGAAGTGTTGACAGTGGGAGTGGTTTTATGACACCAATTCGATTACATAGCAGTTGATGTCCTGGCACACATTCTGCAACTCGGGCATGTAGATATGAAAGTGAAATAAATGCCGGTGTGGGTGCGTTTGCGTGTTTTGGGCCTGTTGCCTTGCGTGACCTAAAACGAGGTCACATGAATGTGTGTGATCAGACAGCTGAGACCAGCAGTGACGTTGCATTTTTAGGCACAGTGAGCACATTGCTTGTGCGCCGCGAGGAAGAGAGGAACTTCAATATTTCTGCATCTTTTAGCGTCCTGTGTTTGTTTCTCCATTCATTAAAGCGCATTGTCGCCTACATAACGGCATGGAAAATGCATAGACCAGCTTTACTCCATATATTTAGTCTCATTTTTACAGAGTATTTGTTTTGAATGCTCTTTTCAGATCACTATGAGAAAAACATTTTTGTATGTTATGTTTGTCCGTAGACACGTTTCCTGTTCCTCTGTGGCTCAGTCGCAGGTTGTGTTGAGAGCAATTACTTTTATGATATAAATGACGACTGTAGACGAGAAACAAAAGGAGAGCAGCAGCTTCGGTAAAATATTTTCCTAGATCAGTAGCACTATAATACTTGTTTTTTCCCTCTTAAATTGTAGCTCCAGGGGAACAAATCCAGTGATGACTGCAGAGATGAATTATATATATATTGTTTTTTACACAAGCATGTGACAGTATGATTGTCAGTCAGGTCATTGGAGGAAGGGCTCTGCTGCAAACAACTCTGTGAGCAACATTTGAGGGCTGGTAAGTCCAGGGCCCCTGGATGACATTTCATCACGCGTAATTAAGGATGTAACAAAGTAACGGCCATAGTGTTTGAGTATGACATTTAGTTGGATGCAATCGCCACCCTCCACGTGTTTGTGGGTGCTCGTTTGTATTTGAGAAGGACAGAAAATGATGATTTCTATTCTGATTTTAAAATTCTTTGCTATGTCGCTAAACATGAACGGTAACATTTACTGTTGAATGAATACACAAAATCCTGCTCACACTCACACAGACGGGCTGCTCTGACTTCCATGGTGGCGCTGTATTTTGATTTGAGGAGTCTGAGCTCTCACGTACTGACACACACTCAAGACGGGCCGACTGAAAGTAGAAGTTGTTTCACGACTGTTACTGTTGAGGTCCGTGTTTCAACAGTCACTGACAGAAGAGACGAGTAACGAGGAAGTGAAACCGCTTGTGCACATTATCGGATCTGCTGTCTGCTTGGATTTTTTGACATCATCAGTTTGACAGTTTGTTGGTCCTAAGTAGGGCTGTACGATATTGGAAAAAAAGAACAATAACATTAATTGCAATATTTTTTTTTTTTTTTTCTGCAATATGAAAAAATACAGGAATTGTCACCTGCATAGATCTAAGTCTGAGGATGTCTCTTGTATTAGTTTGGACCTTTTTAATACTTCCGGCTCCTTACTTAAAGGCCCAGTGTGTAAGATTTACTGGCATCTAGTGGTGTGTTGCAGATTACAACCAACCCCTCAGCTCACCCCTCCCAATCGTGTCGGATAACTACGGTGGCCTTCAGGTGCCCTCGGCTGCATTGGCTCAGACTGTATCGTTCGTTCTTGTTTCACAGATGTATCGATAAAGTATTGGCAAGATCCGTGGAAATACGACCCCGATGCATTTTTTCACAGTTCACCACGACTCTGTATTTCATCGTGAGTTTAAGATGATCGTTTTGAGTCTGTGGATTTGTTTGTGTGCAGAGCAGTTCACCTCTTGCGATTACAAAAATCAAGACGTCGATACATGACCTGCCTAAAGTATCTCGATACCGATCCTGTAATGTCCATGGTTGCTAGGTTGTCCATGACGAAAACATCAAAAGTAATGGAAGAATAAATTACAACATGGAACTTTAAAATTTGTCCTTTTTTTTTTATTAGTTAAAAAAACGGAACGTATTTTGACAATGTCAATTAAAGATGGAGGATGTGAAAAGAAGCCATAAAACAACAGAAGTGAATTATTGTACAGTGTGTTCACGCATTCACATCTCTAAATAAATAGGTCTCTCACTCTTTAAGTATCGGTACTAGTGAAAAGGGGTATTGTACCATTTGAAAGGCAGGGTATTGCGATCGCTATATACTGTAATAAATCCGAATACGATGGCTTCATCCTCAGGAATCACACAGGTGTGTGTGTGTGTGTGTGTGTGTGTGTGTGTGTGTGTGTGTGTGTGGAATCAAAAAGCTTGTCAGTCAATGAATTCCCCAAAATATATTTGTACCCGTTCCAGTCTCAATGCCCAACCTGAATCATGAAGAGTTGTCTTCACAGCCCACAGCTTGCTGCTGCGTTGCTGCTTAACAGAATCATAACTTTGACAGAGATAAAGGTGACGCACTCTTCACAGATGGATTTCCTGCCTCGAGCAAAGGTTTGGCTGCGTACAATTATCTCATCAACACAGAGGCACCGTTCTGAGACGCCGTTTTCCACCAAAACTTCTGAACCGTGCAGTCTTTGTGCCGACTGAAAGAAAACAAAACGATGAGCTAAAGTGTGCGTAGTGGTTGAGAGGTGGGTTATCATTCTCAGTGCTGAAAACCCTGTCACGTTAAACAGACCAGCGATTGAATTTTGATAGCAAAGACGTCACCGAGTGTACTGGCATCAACCGAAACTGCCTGGAAGGAAGGAAATAACTGAAAGCTCAGCAATAAAAGAGAATAAATATAAAATATGCAAAACATGTGGCTTTAAAAAAGACATCTGATTTGTCTCACTATGTTTGACCAGCATTTCTCTACCTGGAGACAAATGTACGGAACTGTTAAAGGAGGACAAAAGCATAACTAGTTTAAATTGTTATGTGTTTCTTCATGCATGCGTTTGTTTATGTAGTGTTGGCATATGTGTCAGTCCTTGTGATTGGTTTCTAAGCATTGTGGTGAGGAGACATGAACATAAAAAAGGAAGCAGGAAGAAGTGAAAGCCACAAGGTTTAGCTTCCTCTGATGAGCGTCACCTGTCTGCACTGTGAACCACAGAGCTGAGTTAACCAGTTGATGTACTGCTACAGGCTGGCGGTGTAACGGTTGTTTACAGCACGATCCAGGCTAAACGCTGCATGTAGGAAAACAAGCCGCCTGGCTGTTCGTTAGTTCTAACGAGGTTAGTCGGTCCTCTCGCAGTATTTTAGGACATAAGCTTATGTGACCAATGTTGTTTTTCTCTACATCTCCACTTATGGCGGCATCACTCAGCTTTTCTCTGAATTTAGTCTCACCATACAGATTGAGCGTCAAGTCCCTGTGTGGATTGCAGATTTGTGATCCGGAGACCATTTAAGGTAAATGGCCCAAACAGTAGCAGAGTTGATTTGAGAGCCGACCATAAATGGCTGGTTTCTGTGCGGCCTAAATGGGGAAATGAGGACATCTATAGATGGACGCATTCATTGAGGAAGCTCATGGATCTCCAGCTGTTCTGGTGACTGTGGGTGTGTCGTACTGGAAATGTTTCTAAAATGTTTATTCAAATGCTGCATTGAGTTCTGCTTTAGACATATACTTAAGACAGTTTGGTGTCCAGCTGCTTGGAAGCTGCATGAGACGAGGTTGAGCTGTCAGTCACTGGACTATCAGGTTTGCTCAATTATTTCGTTGTTGTAATGAAAGTACTGGTTCTTCAGGTTCCTCTGAATGTCAGTCGACACACAAGCAGGTTTTTCGTGACGCGGCACAGTTCCAGGGAAATTTCTCCTTTTTATTTTGGAAGAAAAATAGTGAGAGTCTTCTGAGCTTAAATAATTAGTCTAACTGGTTTTGTCTAACTTCTCTGGTTCCAGCTTCTAAATCTGGAGCATTTGCTGCTTTTCTTTGTCTTACGTGATCGTAAACTGAACATCTCTAGACCTTTGAAGATGTCACTTTGGGCTTTAGGATGTTGTGATGGGTATATTGCACTTTTGGGGGTCCGGTGGTTTGTGTTACGCATGCTGGCTCACTGTCACACTGTCACACTGTCATGGCTGACTGGGACACTTTGATAGTAACATCTGGACTTTTTCTTCTTTTGGCAAATTTAAAGTGTTTGCTGTGAAAAACGGCCGATTCCATACTTGAGTTTCAGACCTGATAACAGACCATGCTAGTTTGATTGATGCCTCTTTAAAGTAAACACATTTTTCCACACAGAAAAATATTGAGTTTGCACTGACATTACAAATAGTTTTCTATCTGGCTGCTGCTTAAGTGTTTTATATTCTATTCAATCTGTCTGCACTCTTGATTTCGGGACACATAGATTCATTTAATGTTTAATTTTATGTCATCGCTGTCGAATGTATTTTTGTATTTTATAATAATGGTGTGTAACCAAAACGGCAGTGGTGCAGAAATTAGTTTTAACATGGAGGCAATGGAGAAACATTTAGAAAGTCTATTTTAATGTACTACTACTAACAGAGTCTAAACACGTAGATCATGATTTTATCTCGACAAAAAGTAAACGGGACACGTTTTTTTTAGCTGCAGCTCGTCCATCAGGGGGACGCATGCGTTGACCAGGAACGGCCATTCTTGCAACGTGCAGACACTCTCTTTGATGTATTTGTCGACAAATTGCCCCATCCCTTCTGTGGTTTGGTGTGCTTGCACTGGTTAAAATGGCAAAAGACACCGATCACAGGGTGTTTAGTATACTTCACCACCTCCAAACTACATCGGGGAAAATCAGCATTTTACACCCAAGTTGTCATGGGCTAATCTTTCTGTACTGCTTAATACGATAAATATGCCATCTGCTTATCCTCTGTTGGTATGTTGGCATGTGGCCTGGCAGAGATGCTCTTTCTCATCACGACAGCACTTGAAAATATGATCACAAACATAAATATTTTGTTTCCCTCCTTATTTTTCCATGTGCAGCTTCTCCAACTCTTCACTCCCGTCCTCCCTCTCTCCTTCTTCATCCTCATCTCGCAGCAAATTAGATAAAAATGCTAAGAAGCAAAGGATGAAATGTGTGCTCGTCTCCTTCACCTTCTTACATCATCTATGTTGATATTTACCAGCTCTCTGCTCTGTTCCTCCAACAGGTTGTGAGTCCTGATCTCTGTGCACCTGGTCTGGCCTTTTCGTCCCCTCTTCTTCTTCGTCTTCCTCGCGAGCAGACATGCCTCCAGCGCCGGCTGGGCCTGTGGTGTACACCCCTCCTGAAGGTGGCTGGGGCTGGGCGGTGGTGCTGGGGGCCTTCATCTCCATCGGCTTCTCCTACGCCTTCCCCAAGTCCATCACTGTGTTCTTCAAAGAGATCGAGGTCATCTTTGATGCCACACCCAGTCAGGTGTCCTGGATCTCCTCCATCATGCTGGCTGTCATGTATGCTGGAGGTGAGTCGGGTGTGTGTGTGAGTGTGTGAGTGAGTGTGAAAGGGTTTTAGTTCCATAATAAAGAAAACTCTTTTCTTTATTCCTATTATTCAATTTTTCTAGGTTATACGTTTGAGACAAACTTTAAGTTGACTTTGTTTGAAAACAGTGGCAACGAAAAGTGGCAATCTAATAGCTGATGTGTTGTTACTTTGCCCTTTGTGTTATCAGAGGTCCTGATTATTGAGATGGTGGATTGGCAGTATGTTGCCCCTTAAGGAATGAATATGTTTGATCTTTATTTAAGTGCATTTTTTGTGAACAAAACTCCATTTTTTTTCTCCTCGCTGGTCGTGGCGTCTCCTCGCTGGTCGTGTTTCTTAAGCCTGTTGCTCTTGACGCTTGACGCTTTATCGTTCACCCTTCACTGAAGCAACATAAAAACAAACAAGCCCAGAGGTTGCGTTCGACTTTCCATCTGCGTATGCTTTCTCTCTCATTCAGTCACAGCTTGAATAACACTCACTGCTGAAGGGAGAGCAGGGGACGATGTGAGAAATGGATACTTTGGAGTGATTGCAAACAAGATATGAAAACAAGGCGCACTTTGTTTTCCTGCTAAAGCTGCTGGAGATGAACAAGACATTGAATTAATGACCAAATTCCTTTCTGTCCCAGGGTTTACAGTATGCTGTAGGAGAAGGCATTAAAACTATAGTAACATCTACAAAATACAAAAATAGGGATTACAATCAAAAAGAGTTTAATTGAAAAACCCAAATGTGAACTTCATGGTGGTGCTAGCGGTTGTGTTTTCTTTAACAAGCCAACACTCAGTCTGTTTTAATCACACTATGGTGCGGTTCAAACCCTGCTGTAACTGCAGTAATCGTACTCTGGTGCGTGGCCACGGTTTCCAAGCGAACCCTTTTATTTTTCGCTTGCAGTGAGAACATAATCCGACCCAGACCAAACCAAAACGCAGTAGATTACAGGCTGCATGCGCAGGTTGCACTTGTTGAAATGGACACAGGTTGACATGAGTGGGAGAGGACGGACTTCTGCAGAAATCTGAATGTTTGCTTGACATGTGGGCCTGAGAGAACAGACGGAATATGTTTAATAAAGTCCACAAAACGTTCATAAAGTCATTAAAGATGAACTGGAAGAGGTAGATCATTGCTCAACTCCTTCAGACAAGTCCCTCAGGAAAGTTACGGAAGGCGGTGTTAAGTTGCATTCAATTTCATTTTCTGTATAGTTTTTTAACATAGTTTTACATTTGCCAGTGCTTACAAATATTCGCTGTACCAGACCCATCCGATAGGCGGGGAGGGACTGAGGCAGCAGTTGTTCTGTTACATCTGTGTGGCCTCTGATTAGAGGTTAACGTTCTTCTTTCATATCAATTTTATGACATAGATTAGTCCCAACCGGTCAACTTTATCCTAGCATTGGCCTTGCCAGGTTTAGGGCTCATTTAAACAGTAGATGGCGGGTTGAGTCATTTTCTACCCAGGAAATACCAATATAAGAATGCGTTACAGCTCAAAAAACTGTGTGCAGTACCTCTTTACTGGCTCTTTTATTTGCACTGCTGGAACAACACCCTTTCCATTTACATGTTGAGGGAGGATTTAGGAAAGCAAAACTCCGCTCTAGTTTCAGATCAGGTTTCTCTCTCTGTGTCTTGACACAAAGCGAGTTACGTCCTAATTCAAACCCTCTCTTTCTCCTTCTCCCCCAGTGTATCTGATAACCAGCACACCCTTAAAGCAGGACGCCGTCATCTGGTTTGCTCTCTCCGTCTCAGTTTATATCTAAAAATGGTCTCTGTTCCCTCCACTTACTCCTTCATCCTCTTCAGAGCTGCGTGCCAGCTCACAGTAGGTTTAGGAGAGGAAACTGCTGAGGGGGAAACCGAGGGGAGGAGTCAAGTTGCGTAACAGGAGCCAGATGTTGAAGTAGTTTCTTTTTGTCTCATTTTTTCAATTTTCTTCTCCCCTGTTTGAAAAATTGGCCGGATCAGCAGTTACTGACGTCATGATGCTGACTTGTACTGTAGGAGTGAAGTTGTAGGGCGTGAATTACCATAACCACATTACTCACTAGTTACACATGAGGAAATACATGTACACACACACGATAGTGTGAACCAGTTACAAATGCACAGCATGCTCTGCATGAAGGAAGAGTGTGATTGTTTCAACTCTTTTGTTTTCACCTCGTGTGTCAAGGCATGAAACACGCTGCAAAAAATACAGGCTTCATGGCTTCACGGGTGTGTTGGAATTACAAACCAAAACATTGTTTTCATTTTCTTAATTCCTCAGTATTTTGTTTTAGATTATTGTCACTTTACGTTACTGGTCACAGCCTCAGTGTGTGTGACTTCTCTTATGATCTGTGGCATTTCTCTCTTCTTGTATGGAGGGAAAAGAGCCGGTGCCTGAAGGAGTGTGTGAGTGCACATCAGCTTGTTTTAATGCAATAAGTAGTGCTCAGGATTACAGGATATTGATATGATTCAGCATGAGACGGAGAGTTGAGATTTAAGCCGATTTAGCAAAAGAATGAAAAAACACTATGAAGTGAAATTATTGTCAAAGGTAATAATTAATTAATAAACGCATAAACCACTCAGTAGCCACTTCAAGGTACAGCTGTACAATCTAATGCTATCCAGTACAACTGTGCTGCCATAAAGTCTACTTTATGATGCCATAGAGGTGTTATAATAAAACTCCATGACAGATTCTTATGGTAATGCATTTCATTTAACTGGTGGGTTTGCTTCTCCTGTCCCTCTCCTGTTGTTGTTGTTGTTGTTGTTTTGTTGTTGATGTTGATGTTGGAAGGACTTACTCAACACCAGCTGATGCTCTGCCTCTTCCTCTTCAGTTTGACACTAAATCTGAGCATCTGCTCCGTAACGACCGGCTGAATGGAATGAACAAAGACCAGATTGTAATACAAAATCAAATCTACACACTTTGCACAGTCAGAGGAAGCAAAAGCTAAAGTTAGACGGAGGAATAGCTCGTCGCAGTTGGGTTCGCTCTCGACACGTGGTGTTTTTTTTTTTTTTTTTTTTTTTTTTTAATCGTGTGTGGACGCTGTGGCAGTGAAGATGAGGACGGACCTCTTCTTTTCCTCCTCTGTGTTCTGTTCTCTCCCAGAGAGATGGAGGGAGGGGGATCGTTTATATAATATCACGGAGGACACTACTCACTGCCCTCTTTGTGTGACGCCATACAGCAGCAAAGATTGTCAGTACTCATTTGTCTATGTGAGCGTTGGAGTGGACGCAGAGTCATTCCTGTCCTTGTACAGGTTCACTTGTGTCCCATGTGTGTTCTGGTGGAGCCTCTTTTATCGACTGCATGCCTGCAACATGGAAACCCACCACCTCCGAAAAAGGCAGCCCACCAAGATGGGCTCTGTGCCAGCTCGTCAGACCCTCGTTGACGGACACGGCACCAGAAACTAGAGCGGTATTTAGTGAGTGCGTGAGTGAACGCTTGTGCTTCCAGAGCGGCCCCCCCCGGCCACCGTGGCCAGCTGCCAAGTTTCAAGGGGGAAGGTCTGTGTGAAGGGCCCCCCCGCTGGTTGTGAGGTAATGGATGCCAGCCCAGAGCAGAATGGTAGCGATGTTTGATTCAGACATCATTCATATTTTCTTTTTGGCATTTGTCTGAGTGTCAGCTATCTTAGTTTTCCCATCTTCTGTCACACAAAATTAGTACTGCAGCTAACGATTGTTGTCATTGTGAGATGATCAGCTGAACATACTATGGAATGACAAATCACAGTTTAAACCTGTTGAATCTGACCACTGAGTAGACCGCAGAAGGCTCAATATGAAGAGCCTAATTGCACCGTTGTGGTTCAACAATGATCGAGAGTCGGTCAGCTTGTCTGGATTGGAAAACAACTTCTAAACCAACAATGCCATTCATGTTTTGTCGTAAAGCGAGCTGAGGTCTGTAAGCGCTCGTTGATTTTCACTACGGTTATGTTTCTTAAGCTTAGGCTCCAGTAAGATTTGTTTTGATGTAATCTTCCTGATTATTCACTTCACAATGACGTGTAAAACAGAGAAAAGCAGCAAATTCTCTCATTCGAGTGGCTGGAAAGAATAAAATGTTTGGCATTTTTTCAATAAAACAGTTGATGATCAAAATAGTCAATCAATAGTGGTCTCAGCTCTGCACATGATATTCTGTATTGATGCCGGAGGAATGAAGCAGTACAGTTGCACACAGAGCTGCTGAATAGATTCAGTCTGAGGCCATGTGAGGACCATTCATAGTGAGGCTGGCACGCAAGCTGAGCACGTGGACTGCCTCCACTCTCCGCTTCTCTTCTGTTCTCTCCTTCTATCCTCTTCTTTTCTCCTCTTTTCTTCTGTTATTTCCTCCTCTTGTCCTTTTCTCTTAATGTATCTTCTTTATTCTTATCTTCTCTCCCCTTCCTCTTCTTTCCTTCTATCCTCCTCTTTTCTTCTTTTATTTCATCTTCCTTTTCTCTTCATGTCTCTTCTTTCCTTCTTCTTCTATCCTCTTTTCTCTTCTCCTTTCTTCTCTTATTTCCTTTTGTCCCTTTCCTCTTCTTCTCTCCTCGTCTCTCCTTTCCTCTGCTTCTCTTCTGCTCTTATCCTTAAGTCCTTACACTGGTTCCCTCTTAGTCTTTAAGGCACTGCATGGCCACGGGACTATCTATGAACCAGGAAGGCTCCTTGGATCCTCCACTTCTTCTCTTAGATGTTGCAGAACAAAAGTCTTTTGTGAAGCTGCTTTCAGTCGTTGGAACATCCAGGGGAGCTGAATACATTTATATCTTTAAACAAAACACACCTATTTAGTTTGGGTATCATGTAGTGTTTTATAATCATTATTTGTGCTTATTCTATCATCATTTTATAACTTTCTGACTTGTTTTTGGTTGATCACATTTTATTGGTGATCAATATTATTTCATCATATTTGATCGTATTTTACTACTTTAACATGACTTTGAGTTTTATCAATCGCTTATAAAGCACTTTGAAGTGCATCTAATTTCTTCAGAAGGTGCTTTATAAATAACGATGGATTGATTCTTCTTCTCTCTTCCTCTTCTCTTCTTCTTCTTCATCTTCTCTCATTGTATTTTCTCTCCTTTCCCCTTCTGTTCACTCTTCTTCTCTCCTCTTCTTCTTCTTCTCCTCCTTGCTTCCTTCTCTACTTCTTTTTTCTATCTCCTCTCCTATGTTGGCATGTGCCATACCTTGCACTGCCTGGCTCCCTCCTCCTCACCCTTTCACCCTTCCCTCCTTTCCTCCCCTCTTCCTCCATGTAACATCCATGCAACCCGCTGCTGTTACACAATCAGTCATTGTCCCTCTTTTATTTCTACCACCATAGCACCACCTGTTGGTGAAAGGTTTAAATGGTGAGCTGATGCAATCACGTTGTAACTGCTCCAGTACGTCTTTGTCACTACCTGCATAGATCATGTACGTGTGCATAGGGCTGCAAGGAACACTTATTTTCTTTATTGATTAATCTGCAGATTAATTGATGAATTGTTACACTATGCTTAGGCCATCTTCAAAAGTATTTTTGTCAAGTTCAAAAGATGTTAAATTTGTTCAGGACACGTAGAAAATCCTCCTGTTTTCGTCTCATTCACTATAATGTATCAATGCTTTGTATGACATCACTTCTCCTTCTCGCGCGTCTCTCCAGGTCCAATCAGCAGCATCCTTGTGAACAAATTTGGCAGTCGACCAATCATCTTAGTCGGAGGGGTTCTGGCCTCGTCGGGACTCGTCACGGCCTCCTTCTGCAACACTGTGCCGCAGCTCTACTTCTTCATAGGAGTAGTGGGAGGTCAGTGTTTTACTCGCTTCCAACATGAATGGACCCTCTGAAGTTGAACCAGAGTAGAGTGTAGTTGTTCAAATCACTCTTTACTTACTAGAGGCTCTGGTGTTGGTTTTAAGTTTGTCCATTTAAACTGAAACATATCTTCACACAACTCTTTATTCAAGTGTTTTCATGGTGATGTCTTCCAGCTTTATAGTCCATTGATCAGTATTGTGACTTCTCAATTCTCATATATTTAGAGACAGGATAAAAATGTGATACAACAACCATATATTGTACTTTTACGTGTTCTTTGCTTTAGTTCTCTTAATGCTATTCCCCACATATCCATATCCACATGTTGAATATAAATGGCACCCTTTTTGGTAAAAAGACATCCAACTTCTCACTTCACCTGTATGTGGACGGCTGTTTTGTTTGCCGTCGTCTTCTGCTAATGCCTCCTGTTTCCCCTCCCACCCTTCTGTCTCTCTGTCTCTCTCTCTCTCTCTCTCTCTCTCTCTCTGCAGGTTTGGGACTGGCGTTCAACTTGAATCCAGCCCTCACCATGATCGGTAAATACTTCTACAAGCGGCGTCCCATCGCCAACGGCATCGCGATGGCAGGCAGCCCCGTGTTCCTGTCCACCCTGGCTCCTCTCAACTCGTGGCTGTACGATGTGTTTGGCTGGAGAGGCAGTTTCCTCATCCTGGGAGGACTGCTGCTCAACTGCTGCGTGGCCGGCGCCCTCATGCGCCCCCTCGCACCCACACCGCAGCCGCCCACACTCGACTCGGAGGCGGACGAGGTCAAGGCAGTGGTGGATTCGGTACAGCCGCAGCCTAAGAAGACGGTCCTGCAGACCATCAACTCCTTCATCGACCTGACGCTGTTCAAACACCGCGGCTTCCTGCTCTACCTGTTCGGCAATGTCATCATGTTCTTCGGCCTCTTCGCTCCGCTCGTCTTCCTCTCTAACTACGCCAAGAGCAAGGACATCAGCAAAGAGAAAGCGGCCTTCCTGCTGTCGGTGTTGGCATTCGTCGACATGTTCGCCCGGCCCTCCATGGGCATGCTGGCCAACACCAAGTGGATCCGGCCCAGAATACACTACTTCTTCGCCGCTGCCGTCCTCTACAACGGAGTGTGCCACGTGCTGGCGCCGCTGTCGGTGGACTACACGGGATTTGTCGTGTACGCCATCTTCTTCGGTTTTGCCTTTGGCTGGCTGAGCTCGGTGTTGTTTGAGACACTGATGGACCTGGTGGGAGCTCAGAGGTTCTCCTCAGCCGTGGGTCTGGTCACCATAGTGGAGTGTGGACCGGTGCTGCTGGGCCCACCGCTAACAGGTAAAACATCCAACATGTAGGAAAAGGGGACGGGTGGAAGGTTGTATTTATTTAGACGGTCTCTCTCTCTCTCTCTCTCTCTCTCTCTCTCTCTCTCTCTCTCTCTTTAAAAAAAATAGTTTTTCTGAGAATACATTGCATATGCAGCTGGGATATAATGACCAGTGATGAAAACATGGTCAAAATGAATGTTAAATCTGACTCTTCTCTCTTCTGTCCCCCTTCAGGTAGTTTCTATAACTACTACCAGCACTATGACTACACCTACATCTCCTCCGGCATCATCCTCATTGTCGCAAGTGTGGTCCTCTTTGTGGGGATGGGCATCAACTACCGCCTGCTGGCGCGAGAGAAGAAGAACGCGGAGAGAAAAGAGAGGGAGGAGGCCAAGGAGGAGCGAACCGCCATGTTGGCGCCTCCCTCTTCGTCAAAATCGGACGAGCCGGCGGAGGAGAAAGCGGGGTCAGCTGCTGTCATGCTGGATGAAGTTGCCAAGATGGACGAGGACACAGTGTAGAAAACAAAAAACAGACTCAAGAAGGACGCACACACTTCACAAAAACACACACGAGAGTTGCAGCAGCCACACGTCGTCTTAATAGAGAGATACGATCCGTGTACACAACCCTGAAGCCATAGAAACTTACTTTTATTTTTAATAAAAGCTGAGAATTGCTTTTCACCGCGTTGACACCTCTTTGACGTGCCTTTTGTGAACTCAAGTCTTCCACGAGTACACCATTTATATATATTATATAAACACCAGATAGATGCACAACAGACAGAATGACTGTAAGATAATAATCCAGTAAACTAATAAGGACTTTAGTCTCAGGGTCAGCCGGCCGTAAGGGTTCAGAACCTCTCACACTCAGACACACTCGACCTTGGTTCCGAGTCAAGCTGAGGCTCAAACGGTACAAAGGTACTGTACATTTACCCTCACATACTTACATTGCTTCCCTTCTCAAGGGCTGGACATGAATTAAAAGGACGCATTCATATTAATGTAGATACAGTAAATCTGTTCACACGTTATATCAGAGGGCAAAATTCCCAGTTTTTTTTTATGTAGATTTATGCTCAAAAATGAAGAATGATTTGGGTGGAAGTTCATCACCAGAGGGAGTCGTATACATACACAGCACAAAATGCTTAACAGTGCAGATATAGGAAAGTAAGGAAGTTAAGAACTAATGTAGGAATCTTTTGAAAAGTCTTGCGGGTCACAGTGCAGACTCACTGTTAACGTTTGCTTGTACATAAATATTTGTGCACTTTGTGTGTAATTCTGTGTTCTACGCCCTCCAACCAGAGCAGCTCGTGCGTCGTCGTGCTGATAAAGACACGTTGGAAGGAAACGTGGTCACACGGTGACGCCCCACAGACCTACCTGCTGTGTAACCAGCAGTCACGATATTAAATTACACCACGCGCTGTTCTTCTTTTTTCCGGAGGGGACGGGTAAAAGGCTATTGTTGAACCAGATGTACGAGTTGATGAGGTGTGTATGTGGTGCTCTGAACGGCCCGGCTGTGGTGCCAAATTTGGGGGGGGAAACTAAATCGCTCACAATCTTAAATTTTCATAATATTGGATTATATGAGTTGCGTTCCTGATAGTGGTTTTTTTTTTATTATTATTGCGAATAACACATTGTAGTTTACAGTTATATCAACAAACCTTTGTGATCTTAAAAAAAAAATCTATTTTAGCAAATTATTTAATGACAATCTTGACAAGTATTGGATTTTGAATTGTTGAGTGAATGAAAGGAGGGAGAGCGAGAGAGCAGACAGTTTAAACTGGAGCCAGATTTCATCATTTAATTTGTTTTTAAATGATCAAACAGGTCTCACAGTTTGTCTCTGAACTGAACAGAATGTGTCATATCAGATCTGTAATGTTTTTAGCTCAGCTTCTGCATTGATCAGTGAGTGGTTTACTGCAAACAAGTTGTTGAGTTCAGACTGAAGGGAACAGAAGACACGAGACCTCTTAAGCCCGAATAGACGTATTTTCATTTTGGGGAAAATAAATACACGTTTTGAATAATTCACAATTTGGTATATGAGTTTTAACTTCTTTTTTTAATTCCTCTAAATATTGCTTGGTGGAGAATGTTTAAATGGATAGTTTGGCTGTGTTGCAGTGGGGTTGTATGAGGTACTCAGTCAGTGTGTAGATGTCAGGAGTAGCAGCAAAGTGATGCTGTGGACGGGGCCGCCTAAAAACAAATCAATCGGTTTGAGTGTACGCTATAGTTAGAATATTTTCCCCGCTTAACCTTGCTGTCAGACAGCCCTGTCCGACGGGGAACTGAAGCTGTGAAATCCATCTTTGTGTCATTTTAGCAGGCAGACCTCGGTAGTTGCCGGTCTAGCGCTGCCTTCATCTGTCATTTAGTTTGTGTTCTAGTGTGACTTCAGTGTTGAAGGTTCAGTTTGGATTCACACAATAGCACAAACAAACTAATATCTTTATCTGGTATCACACCTTCAGTCCCCCATCAGAAAGGGCTGTCTGACAGCACGGTATATAAAATCTATAAATATAGCTTACTCTTAAACTGATATTATATTTCTAGGTCTCTATAATACACTGACTATGGCAAGTAGCTTATACAACCCCACTTTAAACAAAACTGAACTGTAATTATTACTAAACATTTTGTTTACAACTTTGAAAATAAGTAATCATTTTGAAGGATGTTTATAACTTTGTTGTTGTTGTTTCACTACAGACTTAGACGGTTAGGATGGGGATGAATATTTTTATATTTTTTTTTATTTTTGCCAACAAATCCCACAAAGACTAAAACCAATAATTAATTTGATTCTACTCACAAGTATTGTCTGTGTATCAATGCCTGGGGTATTTAATATTGTTTATTTTGAGTCCCACATACACTGCTCTGTTCTCACTAATGTGTATTAATTTGCTGAAAAAAATGGTCCCAAACTAATGCACTATGTTACTTAAAACTCCCCAGCTGTTTAGGGAGATATGTGTTTATTTGTAAGCTGTTTTAATGAATTTACAGAACCACAGACAGGAAGAGGAAACTAGAAAGAGAGATGGACTGACAGGATTTGTTAACAATAACAAAAATATAGAATATAACCAGCTTTGTCTTTTATAATCTAAAAAAAATGTAAATTGTTCAAATGAAAAATACAACGGTTATGTCTCTGTAATGGAACACTTCTTTATTTTGTATTAACTTTTACATTTAAGTGGGAATACAAATGTGTTACAGGGTGCACGTTTACACCGAGTGCTTCCTGTTCCTGCCTGTGTGAACAAGGTTTTGATCATTTCACTGACCAAATGTGAGCATTCGTTTTCAAACCAATTCATTACAAATTCTAAGCTGTTGGGTGTGAAATATACTGTTATTCATCAGGCAAATTGGATTTACACTGGTTCAAAATTGAATTAACCTTTAGTTATTTTGCCTTTGATCAAAGTATTTGAAAAGGAAGGTAACACTTTCAAAGACTGAAACTAAATCATTTCATTGAAATATGTGAACGCTAATATTTTCCACAGGGGTTTTTTTATGGCAGTTTTCTTTTATGTGTATGTATGAATTGTTTTAATGACTGTTGAGAGAGTGAATAAACTTTTTTTTTTTTTTTTTTTTTTTTAAACATTTTCTTTTATTTATTTTCTGTTGGAAAAAAAAAAAAATGAAGAAAATTGATTTTATTTCTTTCACTAAAGTGTGGAGAAATCACCCAAACACTTGCTTTTACAAGAATTACACTTTATAAAACACATTGCCGCAGTTTTCATCTAAACTACTGGTTGTACTTACAGGAATATAGTTTAACGCTGTGGGGAATACAATATGATTAGCCGTGTTCGACATACTTCTTGCCCAGTGAGCAGCAAAAAAACAAAGTTAAAAAATGAGAAGTTGTGATTTTACGTGGGTTTGTCAACTATTTATTTTTATTTATTTATTTATTTTAAGATAAAAGCAGAAACTAGACTAGAGTCTCTGCTGGCTGCTTGTCAGGTACACAACCTTCCAAATGGAGAAATGTCTTTCCACACTTTGATTTTATTGCAGATTAGTATAACGTGACACATGAGATACAACTTGTGAATTAGTGAACTTTAGGGCTGGGAGGTGGATTGTATCCTCCACACCACGCTATCTCGCCTGGACAAGAAAGGGAGCTGCTGTTCATAGACTATAGTTCCGACTATAGGCCGACTGTGTTGATGGTGTGTATTGTTCAGTTGTTGGAGGTGTGTGTGGTGGTGGAGTCGTTGGGTAACGAGCCCCGGCGCTGTGAGTGAGTGCGACAGAGCAGCAGCAGGCGGAGCTCCGGAGAGACGCTGCTGGAGAAGGCGGAGTAGATCCAGGGGTTGGTGCAGGAGTTCAGACTGGCCAGCAGCATCAGCAAGGTGAACACCACACCTGCACGCACACACACACACACGCATGTACAATGTATGCAGAAGTCAGTGTTTGAAATTATGAAGAGTAAGACTTGTATGAAGATGCTGTGCAAATAAAAATAATGTAGTTTAGAATCTGACTTAGTAACTCCTACATCCCTATACAGTTAAAGTTTTTTTTTTTTTTTTTTTTTTTTTTTTTTTTAACGATTGCTAACAAGCGTTGACCTACAGGTATACTTGAGATACTTTTTCTGAACTCTTCCTATACAAACACGGACTATCAAAATACAGCAGACCCGACTCGATATGAAATTGTTCTTTTTAAAATATCGGCACATTTTCTATTCAAGAGGAACGTTTAATCAATCAGCATAACGCGTTTCAAAGTACTAACACAACTGCATTACTTTTCATGTTTCACTTTGTATGTGAGGACAGAAATTTGTGTTAAAAGGAAAAGTTCCAAACCAGTATGAAACCTTAGCCAACGCAATTGTAAATACTGTAACATGTTTGGTGGGAAAAGTGCTACCATTCTGAGGTGGATTGGGGTCCCAGGCGGCCCACAGCTGGACGCTGAAGAAAGGGGCCCAGCAGAGCGAGTACACGAGCACTATGACCAGCGTCATCCTCACTGTCTTGGACATGGCCGCTGATACCTCTCCACCGCGGGCCGGGGGGGCTTTGGGCGGGGGGCAGCAGACAGCAGAGGGCGCTACAGGGCCCGGCAGCACATTGGGCTGCAGCTCAGCTGACAGGAAAACAGGAAACGGGCACAACACAAGATGCGGATGCATGAACCGAGAAGGGTTAAAACGTCTGCCACAATAGAACAGAATAACTTCGGCAGTCTGTGTAGATCTCACCTGGGTGAACAGCAGTGCAGGTGTGAATATCACAATGTGACACCATGCTGTTGGACCCGAGTGGACCCATGGGCGGGTGCTGATAGATGGATCCGGGGTCAAAGCTGGTGTCACTCCCGGGGTTGTTGAACTTGAGTGGAGAAACATACAGGGAGAGACTGGATCTCCCTCTGCCGCCGCCGCCTCCTCCTCCTCCTCCCTGGCTGTCCCGTCTGGATGGAGGGAAGGAGGCGGGGGACAGGCGGCGCTCTGACTTCAGGTACAGATTGTTGTGGATCTCCATGAAGATTCGCACCTGAGGGAAAATGAGACGTTTAGTGATGTTGAGCTGTATTAAAATCATCATCGGTGTCTATAAATAAATTCTGTCCTGGTCCGGTCCGTCCACCTCTACCTGGCAGACGGTGATGATGAGGACCGGGAGGATGAAGACAGCCAGGGTCATCCAGGTCACGTATGCTTTGAGGCCCCAGGACTCGGCAAAGTTGCCCCAACACTCGTAGACACCTGGAACCACTTCTGATTGGGAGAAGATGAAAACCTGGAGGGGTAAAGAGGTTGTGTGGGCCGCCATCTTACTTTGAGGGAACTAAATCTAAAGTGTTTTTACAAAAGTATACAGAGAAGAAAACTGAACACCAAGAAGGAAACTATGATGCAGAATTATTTATTTATTTTAAACAAAATTTCTATTCGATTTTTTTGACAGCCCTGCTGTCCAAATTGCACTAACTTCGACACTGCATGTGCTTGAGGCCCCAGCATGGTATGAACGGTCTTCAGACACACGTACAGACGGATATTCCTAGCTTTATATTTCGATTAATATTCAAGGACAATCACAATATTAAACTATAGCAACAATCGAACCCTCGGTTAGCCTTAAAAGCCTTAACACAGATTGTCTGTCTCTCTTCCTGTGTCTCCCTTCTTTTGTCTCCCTACCTGTGGCAGGCTGAGCAGCAGTGACAGACCCCAGGCCAGCAGTATGAAGCTGTTCCAGCGTTGGGTGGCCCCGCTGCGGTGCGCCAGCAGGGGCCAGCAGATGGCGTAATGTCGGTCCACCGTCATGGCTACAATCATGTAGGAGGAGCTGAACATCCCGAGGACCTGCAGGTATTTCACCAGGCGACACAGGATGTCCGGGCCAGGAAAGCTGCCTTTAGCGTCCCACACCAGCTGGGGCAACACCTCAGAGAGGGGGAGGAAGGGTGGAGTGAGATGGTGTGTGTGTGTGTGTGTGTGTGTGTGTGTGTGTGTGTGTGTGTGTG